ATGCACCATGGCCAAAATCCTGGTGCTGCAGGCACGGATGGGTCAGGATGTGGCCCCCGTGACTCGGGACCCCCCCTCCGAGCCCTGCAAGGGTGGGGGGTGGGTGTGCAAGAGATGGTCTTGTGCGTGGACAGAGAGACCATTATTCTCTGGTGAATTGATAGCAGCCATTGTGCTGCTGGGGAGCAGGGATGCTCAGAGCAGAAGGCAACCAGGGCTGGGCTGTCCAAAGGGACCCCCCCATCCCTACATCACCAATGCCTTGACAGCCCCAGCACCCCTACAACCCCTGGAAACAGTCTTTTAGGTCCTTCCCCTTACCACAACCACACAGCATTAACTCTCTGACATGCCCAGCGCTGGCACCCCCCTGTCCCCCACACAGCCACGTTCACGGCCCCAGCAGCTTCCCCATGGGGTTTTTTGGCTGGAGGGTGGTTATTCCCCAACCCTTCAGCACAGGAGGTGGGTGAGGATTTTTCCATAAGGCCCGACAGCTTGTTTGGAGGGATTCGCACAGCAGATTGTCGGCGGAAGACACCACCATCCCCCCACCCCAAGAAGGGAAAATCCGGGTCTGCATCCCAGTGGGAGGATGGGGGCTGCGATCGGCACCTGGATGGGATGCAGCTTGGAATCACAGCTCCCATCCTGGCATTAAGCAGGAGCAGGCACTTCCTCAGCCGTGTCTCTAAGTGAGCATGGAGCAATGGGTTGGAAAAACTCCTTTTTGGCACAGCAAGGCGGCCGTCACCCTGCCCTGCCTGAGGCTGCCCAGGTTCCCCATCAAGCAGGGTTCCCCATGGTGCTCCCCAGCTGCATCCATGGTGGGACCCCCAATTTGGGCTCAGCTCTGAAGGGTTTAGCCCAATTTCTAAGGGGAGACCTTATTGCTCTCCACAACTCCCTGAAAGGAGGGTGTAGAGAGGTGGGGGTCGGTCTCTTTTCTCAAGTCACAGGCGACAGGACGAGAGGAAATGGCCTCAAGTTGCCCCAGGGGAGGTTCAGGCTGGATATTAGGAAAAATTTTTTCACTGAAAGGGTTCTCAGCCATTGGAATGGGCTGCCCAGGGAGGTGGTTGAGGCCCCATCCCTGGAGGGGTTCAAAAGACGGGTTGATGTAGTGCTGGGAGGTCTGGTTTAGTGATGGTGTTGCTTGTTGTTTGTTGTGTGGGTGTCTATTTTTGTCAGTGAGGTTGACGGTTGGACAAGATGATCTTTAAGGTCCCTTCCAACCTAGAAGATGCTGTGATTCTGTGATTCTCTGCTCTCTCTGCAACTTGGCTGCTCCAGCACAGCCTCACCTCGGGCAGTTTTGCTCCCAGGGCTTTTCCCAGCGATGCTGGAGGCTTCTGCAGAGCCACTGGGTCCCGAGAGCCGCAGCGAGGGGGGGCTTTGCCAACAGCTCTTGCCATGAACAAAGGAGCCCAGGATTTCTGGGAGCTGCTCTTGGCTCTGGTCCCTTCCCAGCCCGGCAACGACGGGATTCACAGATTTGTGGGGGACTCGAGCAGCTGGCTCCGTCACGTAGATTTTTTTTTTCGATTTTTTTTTTTTTTTTTTGCCTGCTGCCAGATTTGGGTAATTACACACTGACTTGGGAGATAGGAATCCGGGATTCGAGTCCTCCGAGCTCCCTGCTAGCTGGGTAATGAATTGGACTATTCATCATTTGATAAAATTTCCATGAAAAGAAGAAGGGGGAGCGAGCCTGCGTCGCATTCGCAGGGTATGAATTACAGTGCCCAGCGAGCCCGCCGGCCACAGACGGGCAATGGTAAAGAGCCAGATTAATGCTGCATTGAATGACAATTAAAACTCATTAAAAAGCTGCAGGCCGGACAAGTTGCCTTTGAGGAGAGCGAGGCTTCTCGAAACGGGGAGCTTCCATTTTTAGACTCAAAGCAGCCCCTTATGCTCATTCCCAACCCCCAGAAGTCCCACCAAAGCTGGAGATTAGTGACTGTCCATGCTGCTGGAGACAAGGGGGCTTGTTCTGTCCTTTATTAACCATTCAGTACTGATTGCCTTCTTCCACCCCAGTCCAGCTGGTCTGCAATGAGACCTCGTTACCCTCTTCCAGTTGTGGCACCACAACTTTCGTGGTCTTCACCCACCACGTCCTCCAGAAGAGCCACCATCCCTCCACACCTGCCTCGGACCCACCTCAGAAATCCATTTTGCACAATTATTGATTTATAAATCAATATAAGCAATGCCTGCCTGGGCAGCCCAAATGAGCAAGGCTTTTCCAGCTGCCATATGGCTGAACCCCAATTAAAAATATATGGTAGCTTTGATTTTAAGGCAGCAAGAGGCAGAGAAAGCCCCGCTCCTCCTGCACCCTCCATGGGTTGTTTCTGCCTTTCCTGGTGCCTCCGTGCTCCTCTCCTTTATCTATTTCATAGAATCATAGAATGGTTGGAGTTGGAAGGGACCTTAAAGATCATCAAATTCCAACCCCCTGCCCTGGGCAGGGACACCTCCCACCAGAACAGGTTGCTCCAAGCCCCCTCCAACCTGCCCTTGAACCCCTCCAGGGATGGGGCAGCCACAGCTTCTCTGGGCAACCTGGGTCAATGTCTCACCACCCTCACAGTAAAGAATTTCTTTCTGGTATCTAATCTAAATCTCCCCTCTTCCAATTTAAAACCTTAACCCCTTGTCCTGTCACTATACTATTTGCTGGAGATGCTGGTCAGTTTGTACCTAACCCATTACCAGGAGTTTATTCATATTATTCAGAGCCATTTTCCAAGCATCAGAGCACACACAGCACTTCACCAAACTCCTTGTGAGCAAACCACCTCGAGAGGACCCCACCAGTTCTTTCTCCAGAAGCAAAGCCCAGCTGTGCTGCCCGAAGCCTAATTCCCACAAAGCCCTTTTCCCTGCTAACACGGCCCAGAGCCTTCAATCCACCTTCCTCTTCATTGAACCACCATCAGCTTTTTCCTCAGGACCAGCGTGTGCCCCAGACACTAAATCTACCCTTAGCAACAAGGCAGAGGACGCTGCCACTCGCCATCAGGAGCGTCATGGCACGGTGACCCTAACCTCCCAATCAAGGGCCTCAGGGCTAATTACTATTTACCCGTATTAGGACATCATTTATTTCACTCTGTTTGATCACGACAGGCCGTAGTTGCCATTTCCTCTCTGGGTTTTGGTTTTGGCTTCATCCGCTCTCTGAACCGTGGGGATAAGCCCTTATTTAGGCAGCGTGGCTCGATGACTAATGCCAATTAATAGATAATAAAGCCAGAGAAGGCCATAGGATAATTCAGGCTAATGCACGCCGCGGGACCTCCCAGATGGCATCCATCCCCTTTTAAACTGCGCCTTTTAGAAAAACCTCCAGTCATTTAAAAACTATGTTCCCCAAATTAACACGCCCCCAGGCCCTCCATAACTTGTGCTCATGGTTAATTATATTTAGAGCTCTGGAAACAGCCTCTGGCGATGGGTGGGAGCTGGAAGCACCCGTTGCCACCCCAAGGACCTTCTGCCTGCCAAAATACACCCAGCACAACCCCTCCCTCGGAGGTTCAACGTGTCTACCCCCTCCCTGGCCACAGGATCCCCACTTGGGGATGCCCGAAGACCCTTTCACAGAATCACAGAATCAATCTTCTAGGTTGGAAGGGACCTCAAGGATCACCTTGTCCAACCGTCAACCTGATTTTGACAAAAATAAAAGAAGCTGCTCGTAAAATGAAGAAAAATGGGTAGATGGTTGGACTCGATGATCCCAAGGGTCTCTTCCAACCTGAATGATTCTATGATTCTATGAAGCTGCTCCTGATTCCTACAGCACCTTCTCAGCTGAAGGCCACCACCTCGGTGGCTTCTTACTGCAGAGCCTGGAGAAAGCCGTGCCGTGCCATGCCATGCCAGGATGCCAGGGGGAAGGTGTCACAGAGTTTGGGCAGATCCCCAAGTGTGGGCGACCTCTTTTTGCATTTCATTTACTTCTTCTCCATCCTATTTATAACCTGGTTCAACTCTCCTGGGAAGCAAACTCCCCCAAAAGAGCGAGGCAGGGGGATGCGCTGCGGCTGCTTCCGTGTCTTCCCGTGGGAGGGAAGCGGGTGCCTTGGGATATGGATGAAACCAGCTCGTTTCCCATACCGACAGCAGATATTTCTGCCCCCTCCTTGCCTTCCCCCAGTCTCCCCCACACCCCAAGAAAAGGCACTTTTCGTGCCTCCCCGTTGCCTTGGGCTTGTGCTAGGATGCTGGGACAGCTCTGCCTGGCCTCAGGCACCCAGACCCGATTTTCAAATCAATTTTCCTCAAAGGATGAGCTGCTCAAGAGGATGTGCAGGGTTTGTACAACCCTACCCAGGGCTCCTGTTTCCAGCACGGCCCGGGACATGGCCCCAGCGTGGGAGGAGTTGTTGCAGGAACCCTCTAAATGCCTGTCCCTGGGAGCACTGGGAGCTGGGGGCTTTTACTGGTTTGAGTTAGATACCATAACTGGTTTGAGTTAGACACCTGCTGCGGGGTGGGATGCAAAGACCCCACGAGTCCTCCAGGACTCTGCCCTTTTTTGGCCCCACAATGGGAACACACATAGAGTCGATGGTCCC